AGAAGCAGATCGTAATTGATATTAAAGAATTTATGGAAAATTATTTCTTTTTTTAAGACATCTTGATGGGTTGGAAACAGCGGGACATGGCACATAAAGTGAGGCCCAGCCCATTAATCTGAATCTAATGCGCCGAACTTTAAACCGCTGAACTTGTTCCGAGTAAACGAAAATCTGAAAACTCTTGTTGTTCGCTCCATTTCCTCACAATCCCCGACGACGACTACGACAACCGGAATCCCCACAACCCTAGACCTTGAACCCGTAATTCCCTCCGTTTCCCGATCACATTATCCAATCGTTTCATTTTTCCATTCATCAGATCAATTTTTCAACGGTTCGATTCCCCCCCTGATGTGATCATATCATCTGAGCACCGGCGGGCTCTTCAGTTCGCTCGTCGCCGGTGAGTTTGAAATGGGGATCACTTCCTCTCTTTTTTTTTTTTATTTCTCCTTTCCTTTGACTTTTGTTTTCAAATTTAGGCAAATTAGTGTTCATGTTTCTGTTTTATTTTTATTGTCATCAATTGAACCAGATGTTGATATTAATTATTGTTTGAAAAATCAGGTTTTAGTGATTTCTAGGTGTATTAGCTCCTTATTTTACTCCTGAAATTCTCAAACCAATGCCTTTCCCACAGGCATTGTTGGGTATGGAATGGAAGTGTGAATCTATTAAAGCTGTGTTCTGAGACTCTGTCTATGGTTCTGATTAGGAAAATTCAGTGCTGCTTTTGGGTATCCTGTTTGCAACGCATTTATTAGATGCAAAGTGCACAGTATAAAAGTAGTTATTGATCTGACCCAATCAATCACTTTGGACAGACTTTGTTGGGAACTTTTACATCAAAAGCTTAGCTTGTTTTTTAGCTCTTTATCTGTTTGAGGAGATTTCCCATCTCTATTTTGTGGTTGGGGTGTGTTGATGCTCTGCAATTCGCTTATGTTCTTATCCTTTTTAAATTCTTTTAAGTGAGTTTTACTTTTTCTTTAACATTGTTACGTGATGTATTTAATTGACAGTACCATATTTTTGAATCAATGGCCTTTTAAGAGTCTGAATTTCTCAGCTACTTTAATAATGAAGGAAAAAAAAGGACAAAGACAAGAGAGACCCACGACGAAAGATTAGTGTTACAAAAATAACCACAGTAGGCAACAGCCTTTGGGTTCTTTCTGGCTTATATATGGTAATATGGTTGCTCAAGGATTTCTTTTCCTTGACAAGATTTGATTACCTGGTGTTAGTCTTCAGGTATTGTTGGTATATGGGTATTCATGTTGCTTTTTTGTCTACTAATAGTTGCCAGTTGCTCTTGCAGAACTCTCTCAGTTGTCATGGAGATAAAGTTATAGTCAAATCCTAATTACTTAATGTTATATTTTTTTTAATATAATTATTTATTATACATTTATATTATTTTT